ATTTCTCCAAAAAGAAAAAGATCACGAAGCTGATGAAACAGGAGCAGAAGGGAGATGGATAAGGATGGGCCAAGTGCAGAACTCTTCAGAATACACGGTGTCCTTCTGGGATTCACTCTTTATCGGCTTGAGTGAAATGACTAGATTCTTTCTAAGCAACATCATCTCTCCATGTGGTTGCCACCATCTGTTAATGTCTTGATTTTTGGAAAGTTTGGTTGCCTGAGGCGAAGCCAGTACTGGCGATATCTCGGGTACCAGTCAATTGTGAATTGCTGTTGCATTGTCATGCTCAAAAATATTCTTCTCCTTCCACATAGACGACCCCACCCAAAGGGCAATGTGTGGCATGGGGACAAGACCTAGGTTCAAATTGCACTTCAACCAAGGATGTTCTTTGCAATTTATCCCTTGGCCCACCCTCCTTCCTCTCCCCACCCAGCATAGCTCCTGCACCTTTAAAAACTACACAGCAGGCAGAAATCCAACAAATCCAGCCCAAAGTAAAGAATTTCCTAGCAAAGATAGAAAAAAGCTGCACCTGTTGAATGTCAAGCAATCATCCCCTGCCATGGGACTGAGTGGGAGAGATGGTCACTCCAGCATGACCTTGGGCAACTCATTCTTTCTCAGTTTTCCCCATCTGTAAAATGGGCAGTACTAATAAACTTAAGTTTGTTGAAGGATCATGGGATAATTATTACTGGGGACCAGATAATGCCCAGAACGATACTGTGGGGTGGGGGGATATATTTTCCCCTGTTGTTTAAAAAGGAACAATTGCTACAGAAGTAGAAATGTTGCAGTTTTGTCCCATAGGGATGAGAAGTGGGCAACTGCGCCCGGAAGACAAGTGGAGAATTTGCACGGATTTATGTTTGGGGTTTTTTCTAAGTGCGCGCGCGTGGGTATCTTATTTACCGGCTATTGTAAGTTATTGTGGTTTTATTCGGTGGGGAGGGGGGGGTCCGAGGAGAAGCAGCGCAAACTTTTGGTGCGCGGCGCGCAGCGCGGAGGAGCCGAACTTGGCTCGGGAGAAGCGCTCGTTTTATTTCTGTTTAGACTGGAGCCGTCGGTTAAACAAACAGCGCACTTCAGAGGGGTCACAGCAAAGCAGCCGGGTTCCCGTCAGGGAATTCCTCCTCGCAGCTGCCGCTTTTGCATCGCTTCGCCGCGTGGTCTCCATAATTCCGCCGAGGGGGCGAGGGATGCCCCGAGCCGGTCCTCGGTGGGGCAACCGTCGAGTTTGAGGCAGGGGTGGAGGGAGAGAAAAAGAGGGGGAAAGGAAAATAAACTCTGACAGGCTGCGCGTTAAACCAGGACTGATCGCTTCTCAGTTTGACACAAAGGCCATCAAGCAGCCGCGGGAGTTGGCGCTGACTTTTATGTTGTTTTACAAATAGGATATCTTAAAAAAAAAAAAATTAAACCATCGGGGGTGGGGGTGGCGAGGGGAGACAAAGGGAGCACCTCGAAGCCGTCGCAAGTTATAAAACCGGCGAGGCGCTCATGGGGTCTCCATTACCTGGAGCCACAAGTCCAGGAAGAACTCGAGAGCCAAAGGTAAGGGAATTTCATTTCATTTATTTATTTATTCTAAAGCGGAGAAGCAGAAGTTGCCCTGAGAAGAACTGGCTGCTTGGAGTTCAAGGACTCGGGCCTGGTTTTCCCACCGCAGTTTTATGGTTATGACAGGCTCTCCAAGAGGCACTAAAAACGGTAGTTTCCTCTTTTCTGCAGAAGATAAGGAGACGGGAGGGGCGCGCGGGAGACGCCTCGATGGAAAGGGAAAAAAGGGCGCCTTTGCTTCTCCTTCCGCAACCGAGAGGGTTTTCTCCCCCTCGCCTCCTGACTCTTCTGCCTCACCTAACAGATTAGGAAACAGATGGGAGAGTCGCATCAGATATTCAGGAGTTTTTCTCCAGGGAGAAGGGAGGGGAGAGAGAGAGAGATTTGAACAAGTAGATGCAAAGGGCTTTTTGGGGAGGGGAGTGGGGGGGGAGGACACTTTCCGGGTTTCACTCCAGCTGCAACCCCTGCGTCCCAGATCGAGGTTGTTGTGAGAAATCTTGGGGAAAGAGGGGGGTTAGCCCCCTGGATGAAGGGCCGCGAAATGATAGCCTCCCCCCCCCCTCCAGTGGACTACAGCCCAGAAGTCCGCAGTAGGAAGGAAGGAAGGGGGCGTGGACCGTTTCTAAGGGAGAGTTTTTCTTTCTCTCTCACCCCCGCCCCCAAATTTCGCTTCCCTCCCGAATTAAGTGCAGGGGACCCCGGGCGATGGGGCCACGGCCCAGCCAGTCCTTCTCCCCGAGAGGGTTGCCTTCAAGAACGACTATTGCACCCCCTAACCCGGCTCCACAGTTTTCCCAAGCGAGAGATGTATAACAACACAATCTCTCCCTGTTTCCCCCGTCGCGCAGTTGCTCTCTGTCCTTTTTCCTTCGCTCGTCTTCTCTCCTTGTTTATTTCTTTTTTTAAAAAAAAATGTGTTCTCAGATTCGAGCTTCTAATAAGTTTTGGAGGTGTTGTTGTTTTGAATTGTTCCGCTGCTGTTTTCTTTGGGAGCCCGTCTCTTATCCACAGCAGTTTGCTAGTTTTTCTGGAGTTGGAATGAGAGAGAGGAAGGGATGGAGAAGGGAATGTTGCACGTGCCCGAGAGAGCATATATGCAGAATAAACCCCATGCGCCCTAAAGAAATCCCAGAATTAAAAGTTAGAAAGCGACCAGAACGAGAGCGCCAAAATCCTCGCACGCTGCGAGCCATTCAAGCACACTCGGATCTGTGGGCGCGCCAGATTCCTGCGTGTTCTCTCTCTGTGTGTGTGTTTAAAAAAGAGATTACCTGTGCACCGGCATGGGTTTTTTTCCCCGGGTGCCGTAACTAATGCAGATAAGGTTAGGATTTTTAAAATTATGTGTTTAAAATATTTTGCACAGATACCTGTCCGAAAGAAAGGCAGGGGTGGGATTTTATTATTTTCCCGCGTATAAGATAAGCAGCGCGCCGTCTTTTCTCAAAGCGGTTTAACTTGCCTGCTCTGATTTATTTATTTTTAATATCCCGATAAAGTTAATTTTTTGCTTTCCTAGTGGTGCCAGGAATAGACATACCTTCAGTATTAATAGTAGTAGGCAACAACAACAATAAGGCAACCATTCGAAGAGGGAGCTGAATGAGTTGAATAAACTATCAAGAAAAGTGTGGTTTGAGTTCGCGGTGGACATACAGATCGTAAATCTGAACTACCGATAGTTTTCAAACAAACTCGGTGATCTGATTGTGTTCCAGAGTTATTGGAAAGAGTTAGTGGTCTCCACCCCACACCCCACCTTCCAGTGACTTAAAGCAGGATTTAATTTAAAGCTCTTGAGTTCATGACCTACACATCATGGATACAGTGAGGCTGATCCGAACTTTGGGTGAACGCTTTTTGTTGCGTCTGCACTAAGGAGCCTCTTCACGACCAACAGAAGATTGTATAGCTACAAGACAGGTTAGGAGCAACCGCCAGGTTTCCTTCAAGGCTCCAACGCGACTTCCCTTTTCCACTTATTTGTTGTATCACTCCTGGGAGCGGGAAAGAGAGAGGAAACATCGATGAACTTCTTTAAATCAGGAGAAAGTGAATTCGTATTGAAGGCTTTGAAGAGGTTTGCAAAAGTGGGGGAAAAGGGAGGGTTGTCCAATTGTCTTAAGTTAGTCACTTGCGCCTTCTGAGTTTTTACGCAGTGCATAGGTTGCTGACACTGGTTTTTTGTCTAGATCTAAAGGGCTGTGTGTGTTGTGTGTGTGTGTGTGTGTGAGAGAGAGAGAGAGAGAGAGAGAGAGAGAGAGAGTGTTTATATATACCGTGATTAAAACTGACCTTTTTGATGCCCCTACTTCTATAGTTTTAAGAGTCTGTCAAAGACCGAGAACCATTTCCTGGCCATTGACAACCGTGATTGCCTGGAATGGATGGAATGAGGGCACCTTGGCTTCGTTCAGCGCAGCTTATCCAATGCCACCACCCCCTCCCTCTCTCCCCGTGCCTAAGCAATGACACACAGTCCAACCCACCACCAACTAAACCGAAGTACTGGCAGTGGAAGGAAAGCTTTACTTTTAACGATTTCGCCTTAGCTGTTTTTGCATCGGGCTGTCCACCTACCACAGAGTTGCTCAAAAGGCGACGAAAGCCCCACCAACTTGAAATCTTAACGAGGCTGTAAAGTTTCTTGGGGGGGGGGTGTTGGTATCCTCGCCACACGTTGACATGCCCCCTTTCCGCTACGCGAGCGCGTCTTTACGCGCGCACCTGCTTTCTGTGCGCGGATGGATGGTTTAATTGCAATTAGTCCGCAATCCTGAGCACTCTTACGTGGGAATGCCCTACAACCCTGCGTGGGACTCCGAGGACTAGCGTCGGGTGCGGGGCTATACCGATTGCACTCCCTACACACCCCGGTTATCTCTGCCCACCCGCTATAGAAACGCGCGTGGATATTTCCTCGCACCCACCCCTTCCTTTTGAGTCAGGCGCACCTTTCCACGTTCCTTTCTGCAATGTTGTAGCCATACCCAAAACTAAACTGAACCACCAAAGCCAGTTACGTCCAGTAACTGATCTCCGCACCCGGCAAGGCTGAACTCCGCGCCGGGGACAGACGGCTCGTCCGATGCGCCCTCCTCCAAATTTGGGACGAAAGTCTCCTTCCCATCAGCGACGATGGGGGCCAAGGGGTGGAGAAAGGGGACGGCGAGGTGGGGGCAGCAAGTGGGGGAGACCGATCCCATCCCATCCTGTTCCTCCTCCTCCTCCTCCTCCTCCCCCCAGCACAACCCCCCCCCACGTCTCGCTCTCTTTCCTCCCAAGTTCTCCGCTCGCTATCCCCCTTGAATCCGAAGGAGCCTCCCGATTGGGCGCTGGGCCTGGCGCACGTCACTCAGAGCGTGACGTGTAGTCTTCCTGTTTCCTTCAGCTGTGTCTTAAAGTAAATCTTGTTGTGGTGCGGAGCCCTCAGCTGAGCGAGGCTGCTCTGCTGCCTGCAGAAATAAGAGACAATTACAGGCTGGGAGAGGAGAGCGGCGCAGAAGAGCAGGGTGCTCCTCCTCCCTCCCTCTCTCTCTCTGTTCTCCCTCTTGCTTTCTCTCTCTCTCTCTTTCTCTCCTGCACCCTCGCTCATTCTCTCTCTCTCTCTCTTTCACACACGCACACTCACACGCATCTACATACACCCTGGCACGCTCACTCTCACCCTCCCTGGGCCAATTACAATATTCATCAGCGGCAAGATAGCAAGGCTGTGTATTTGTGCGGAGCGTGTGCGCGTTCCCTTCTTGCTCGCTCGCTCGCTCTCCGTCTCTCTCTCTCTCTTTCTCTCCTTCTATCTAACCGGCAGGGGGAAAAGAGAGAGAGAGAGAGAGAGGAGGGGGGCCCAGTTTCATCGCCTTTGCAACTGAGTAAGTATCTGTCTCCCTTCACTCACTTCTTTTCTCTCTTTTTTAATGGGGGGGGGTGGCGGGTAAGAGAGATGGTCGTCTTGGACGCTGGCACGGGCTTGCTCCAAATGCTGGATCAAGTTGTTGGGGGCAGGGGGTGTGCGCGGTTATTTATTTATTTATCCTCCTTAGGGGAACCTCCCCCCCCCAAAAACCCCCTATCATTCTTGCTGATTTCTTCTCCTCGTCCCCCAGTATGAGGTTAATGACGTTAGAGACTAATAAAACCACACTGGTAACGGGGTTTTCTTTTTGCTTTTGCTATGCCCCAAACTCTAAAAGCTTCAGTACAGTCATCGCAATAGTTTGCCTAGTTGGAAAGGATAAGGTTTGATGTTGGAAATCTCTCTCCCCCCCTTTCCTGATTGCCTCTCTTCCGTTCTTTCTCCTCTCGACTTTTTTTATCGATGTTTCGTATAAAGGTTTTTTTGTGTTTTTTTTTAAAGGTTGGGAGTGGGGAATGATTCGGCTTTGTATGAGTGTCTTTCCTGAGGCTTCCTTCCTTCTTCCACCCCCCCCCCCCCATCGCCCCGCCACCGCTTTCTCTCTCCAACTCCTGGTCTGGTCTTTCTTCTTTGTCTTGTTTATTAATCGCTGCCTTTCTTTTTGTCTCCTTCGATTTGCTTATCATTTGCATGCCCCTGACTTCTCATATCTCCCCCCCCCCACCTGCTGTATTTATAAATACGCGGAGAGAGGATTTGAGCAGGAGGGGTGGGGGGAAATGTATGGGTGTTTGAATACTTCTTTTTTGCGGGGGAGGGAGGACTGAGAAGGACGGGCTGGTGGACGGGAAAGGATGAGCCGGAAGGGTGCTTTAAAAAACAAACAAACCAAAAACCCAGGGGTCAGGTTTTTAGGGCTAGGTTGCAGTCAGACTCACTTTTCCTTGGAGCTCCCGGCTGGGCGTTTTAAGTTAGTTCCGAGGAAATCTATGAAAGGGCTTAATGGGTGGTGGGAAGTTTGATGGGGGGAGATCCAGAAACGATCAGCGGCGCGGTTGCGATCTCCTCCGTGTCTGCTCAAGAGTTCTTGCCTTGCTTGCTTGCTTTTCTCCCTTTCTCTCTCTCGGTGCTGCAAGTTGATCGGCTTGGCTTTGCCCTGCGCGCGCGGGACTTTTCTTTTCGAAAGAACGCTTCATTCTCGAGGAGAATCTCGCCTCTCCGGAGCGCGCTTTCGCTCTTCCTCTCTCCACTCCCGGCCGGCTTCGGCGTCGCTCGGCAGCACTTGAGCCGAAGTGCTTCCAAAGTCGCGGATCGCGGCGGACTGGGGTTTTTTTTTGGGGGGGGGTGCGCGCGAGCGATTTGGAGAGGTGGGGGTGCGGAAGGAGGAGAAATCTTTACCCCCGTAACGGGACACTTTTCCCTTCCTCGTTTTTTTATTTTAGTTGGTGGGATTAGATCCACTTGGCGCACAAACTCAATATGGCAAAGCTCCTCGGCCCCTACTGCACCCCCTCCCCCCCCCGCCGCGGTAGCGAAGATCTGGCTACAGACGGTGCCTGTCGGACGACTCTGCAAGTCTGTGCCTGGGTAGGGGGTGTGTGCGCGCGTGGGGGGGGTACACGTGTATGTCTGGGTGCTTAAGTTTCAGCGTGCGCAAATAAAGGGGAAAGAGGCGAAGAGTTGCAAAGAAAAGTGCCCTCCAGCATGGGAGGCCGTGTCTTAAGAAGAAATAATGCCCGGCAGGTGGAGGGGGCGAGGGGGGTGTCTGGCGATCTGGGGACGGGGAGGGGGGGGAGCGAAGCGAGTCCCCAGTTGCAAAGCAGCGACCGAGCAGCAGTTTTGGCTCGCAAGCGGTTGTAACAGCCCCCGGTGGCCTCTTCTAACAAGGGCGGGCTGGCGGCGGCGGGAGAGGCTGCTGGTGCGCTTCTCTTTCTTTGCCTCCGCTTTGGCAAAGCTCTTGAAATTGTCCAAGGGGCGCTTCGCTCCAAGTGCGCATGGGCAGTGCCAGACAGGTGTGTTGTGTCAAGAAAGACAGGTGCAAGTTTCTCTCTCCCTCTCCCCCTCTGTTGATCCTCAGCACAACGACTGTTGATGAATTTATGGCGCTTTGTTAGGAGATGGGTCTCGCTGAGTAAGGGAGGGCGGGAGAGAGAGAGAGAGAGAGACTTGGACCTCTCCTGACACGCTTGGAGGAACATGGAAGGGGGAAAGTTGGCATTTGTTTTCATGAACTGGCAGACTGATGCCATGCCTCTCATCTGCCTGGTTACTTGGAGATTTTATGAGATCACTTGATGGTGCTCCCCGTGGAAACAGAAAGGTCTTCAGTTAGGGAAAGTGCTTGTGAACAGTTTGATCCTGCACATGTCTATTCAGGAGTAAATCCCAGTGTTTTCAGTGGGGCTTACTTCCAGGTAAGTGCGTGTAGGATTGCGGCCTAAGGCGGCATCCTTGGTCAGACAGAACTCTTCTAACATATATAGGGAACTCATAAGTTCCCTAACAACCCATTTCTGGAACCGTTTGCTCAGAAATTAGCCCCACGAAAGTCAGTGAGGCTTACTTGAAAAGCAACTGAAGAACTCCCTTTTAAACTACGTGGGGCTCACTTCTGAGTGAACACGTTTAAGATTTGGCGGTAGGTCTCAAATCTTGAGGATACCTTTCCCATCTCCATCTGAGGACAGATTAGGTGTCGTTTGAGTCCAGAGCATGGATAAGGAAGGATTGAGCAGGCTTTGAATTCAAATAAAATAGATGGAAGGTAGTTTGAGTATTGGAAGAAGAATTGTGAACAGGCTATTGGATATTACTTTCTAGTACATCAAGTATGAAATGCCCCATATTTGACTTTTATCATTCCTCCCCTAATCTTCCCACAAATGCATGCCTCCAAAGCTGTAGGTTTGTAGCCTGCATTTGAATATACACTTACAAAGGATGGAAGTCTATGCATCCATTTGAGAGCCTGTAATTTCTTCCAAGTTAATGTTGTCTGCTAGGTTAGCGGAGGGCCACGTGGAATGAACTGTTAGATTAAAAATGGAGCACGTTGTTTGGTTCTTGTTTCCATTGCCTTGACAGGTCTGACCACTTTTGAAATGGATCTAGTTGCATTTGTATGTGTCTTTGATTATCATTTCTTTTGCTTAATCTGCTATCATGTATTTCATAGGTTACAACCCTGCAAGGCCCTTGTCATTATCCATTTCACCTGCTTTTCCTTCCAAAGCTCATCTCTGGCAAATATAAAAGTTGCCATTTGAGTCCCACTATTGGAAGGACTTGAACTTTTAAAAATGTTGCTCGTACGCCCATGTGCTTCACAGATTGCTGACAATGGAGATTGCAGACCACACATTCAAAGCAATAATCTAATACAAAACTTTGAACTGCAGTTCAAAATTGAAAGAAGGCCTCTCTGTCACCATTGGGGATTTATTTTAACGATCAGCTCAAAATTAAATTTGGTATATTTCAGATGGTTGGATATTGCTATTGGTGCTTTTTTTTTTGCAGCACACTTTCCAAGTGCACGAAAGTGTCAGGTGATGGATAACTTAATTGCGCTCTGTTACAAAAGGCTTGAGTGGTTTTTTTCTGAGTATGTTTTGTGGGTGATTTGATTCAGTGTTCTGATTGGAGGTTCTATACCTTGATATAACTAAGAAAATCTGGGGTGAAACTACGGTAGGAATAAATGTGCAAGTTTTGATTTCGCTGGTGTGCTCTTTTTTTCTAGTGATTCTTTGAAGCACTGGCTTGTATGGAGAATATGCTGGCATGGCTTTGCCTTTTGTATATTGCTGACCCAAATAGTTTATTTATACGGAGTAATCTTTAGATGCATTCGTTATAGGATGGCTCCCACCCTCCCCCCTCAAAAAAGATTTCTAACGCCAACAAAGCAATAAGATAGCAACTCCTTTTCGTCATCAGGACACTTTGTACTTTCTATATTATGTAGGAGTGAGAATGCTAAGCACCTCACAGCAGCTTCTTTATACCTTGCCAGATTGGTCCCCATGTGCCCATGATGCTACACAGTAGTTTTCCTTCCTTCCTTTAACTAAAGATGGGTCCTTAATTTGGTCCTTAATTATTTTTTTTTTAACATAATGCCTTAATTTAAATGAAGCAGAAAAGAAGTAATTGATGCTAGAAATAACCATTACTTGTACTCCTAAATTCCTTCACAACATTTTAAAAAGATGGAGTATGGGACAGGAATGTGTCATCTATCTTACAAGTACTGAAAACATTGCCATTGGAAAAATGTTAATGTTGTATATCTCCCCCCTCCCACCTTTTGTACTTCTCAGAAGTACAGTAAGGTGACTTAAAGTGGATCTGTACAATATAATGTTCTGTCAACATTTAACAACTTGCGTGTACCGCTGACATTGTCTTACGCTCCTTAAACTATTATACCTAAACCCAATGCAGTAAGGACACTTTCATTATCACATATTTCCCCCTTCAAAACATTTTTTTAGTTACATATGGAATATAATATTTATGGACCGTGGAAGAGAGACAATAACTGAGTTCTGTAAAAAGAACATACAGTTTCGAACTTTGCAGAATGATTTTTTTCCTTTCAAATTTCTTATTCTCCAGTCTTCACCATCGGCAGCTTTGATTGAGAAATTGCACCAGATTATTCTGTGCTTCTTAAAGCAATTGATTTCTTTTACCAAAGTAAAAATGTTGTTCAACTTTTAGCTGTACCTGCTATTTAAATCATTCCCTTTCCCCCAAATCAATCCACTTTAGCCATATGGGAAAGCAGTTTAGTCTACACTATCTAAGGCGATTACTTTGCAGACAAGTCCATCGACGTTTCTATTTGAGCCATTCTAAACATTTCTGGATTGCACATCTAAGCAAGCTAATGTTTAGGGCTAAGGACTGGGATGCCTTAAGGTTGTATAGTCGACATGGTTTTGGAAAATAATTGTGTTGCACCTTGTGGGCACCTAATCCTCTCCACGGGGTTTTTGTAAACTAAACGCCATGTATTTGCTACACTACACATAATTTCTCAGTATAGCATATTTGAGTGTTTGAGATGATGGTGAAGTGCAGGAGAGGACAGATTATAGATCAGCAAGGTGTGCGCTGCAGCCTGGGACCTCGCTAGAAGAGAACGAAGTCCGGTTTATGATACAGGCCATGGAATTGAGAAAAGGTGCTCTTTGCTTTCCATCTGTGGAAAAACAGAGCTCACAATCAAGCCCTACATAATTTGAAGGTTCAGATAACAGAAGCCACACCAGGTCACCAGGTGAAGGGTCACTTGTAATGTATATTGAATTCAAAGTATCGTACTAAGCAACAGCATTTGTGTACATTGCAATCAAATTTAGGATTTCTCTGATTTCTAGAATTTCATTGATCGTATATTCCAGAACAGAAATCTGTGAAAATCAAAGCAGTTTCCTTCCTCCCCTTAAAAATGAGAAAGGAGTACAGTCTATAAGTTGACCATCAGTTTGTCCTTCCTTCCATATATATATATATATATGCATGCACGTCTTAATAGGAAAGACTTCATCATATCAAATGTGTGCGCTCTTGCTGACTCAGAATCTCACATTCTGCTGTATGCGGTATTCTGTTTCTCTCAGGATGTCAGTTCATGTTGGCATATTTTTTTTTGAAAGCAAGAGGTTGAGCCACTGGCATTCTTTGGCTGCAGGAAAACGCATCTCTCGTCATTTGGGCTGAAAGTTCAAAGCCGGAAATTCTGCTGTCTAAAAGCAGTTGTAGTAAGAGATGGCATCAGCTCAGAGGGTCAATGGGAGCAGAGGGCTAGAGCCCCAGGGAGAGTGGAGGGGGGCTTTGAGGAGAGGACTAATTGTGTCATTCATGAGCAGTCGCTCCTCAGGCTTGCTGTCTATTGAGCCAATGTGGTCTTCCCTTCTGGTGGCAGAACCGTAGGACAGAGCACTAGTCAGTACGCATACGAGAGACGAAAATGGATAGTGGATTCGTGACAGTGACCTTATGATAGCATTTCCTCGGTCAGTGCCATACAC